TCCCGGGCGGATAGTTGCGGGCTTTGGTTTGTTTTGGTTTTTTTTACGCCGAGGAGTCGGAAGAATCGTAACAACAGGGTACCTTGAGGGACGAGAGTGCCTGTGTTTGTTTACCAGTCGTGGTTAAGAACGAGGAATTGGGGCACGCACCCGTCTCTCTTGCCTAGCGCTACGGATTTATGACAGTGTCTTGATCTGCCCCGGTAGGCGCCGCCAGTAAATCACTCGGCAGCAGTCAGGCTGCTGGGCTACCAGTAGGACAAGGCATGAAGCCTTAAAAGAAAGAAGATCCCCGACAAAAGTGGACAAAGGAACTTATTGCCCTGACAGGACTAAGGCTTCTGCTTGGGGTTGTAGTTCTGGCTTACTTTGTTCTTAAACTTCTAGTTCAGACTTGATTTTATGCTGACCGTCCCAATTCGGTATTTGAGAGTCTTTCATAGCCTAAAATATCAATGATGTAATTCTGTTGTTGTTATTTTATTGCTATTACCGCTGAACATGCGCAAGGGATGAGAAGAATGCTTTGCATGTAGTATGGGCAGAAGTTACTGCAGAAATTGGATACAATTTTAATTCATGTTTAGCTAGGCAGTGCTACTAAAACCAGGCAATCTCATTTGTCCTTAAACAATTAACCTTTATGGAAAATAGGCAGACCAGAAGAAACCTAGGCAGGGAAATTTGTCTTTGTGCCCCTGTGGAGAATATGCTACGTATTTATCTGTGGCCTTAAGCGCTTTCTCTGATTTGACTTGAATGAAGCTCGAGGCATGCCTTATTCCGTTGGATTTGGGAAACATTCTGCTTGTTTGTTTGGATCAACTTATAGGATGCTTGTTGGGCTTACGCAGTTTCTTGTTTGGTGACTTATTGTGTCATTTGGTTCATATATTGTTTTGATTTCTCTCCAGGCAGACAAATTGTTGAAAGCACTGAAGCAACACTTCCATGCAACAAAACAAGAAAATGAAAATATGGTAATAGATGATAAATCACCCATTCTCTTTGAGAGAGATATCTAAGTTTGTAACTAGTAGAGCAGGGCATGTACTGAAGGTTGTTTTACACCGTGATGTGAACTTTAATAAAAATACTTTTTTCTTAATAATGCATTTAGTTTGATGCACTCATGTACTGATAGGAACAGATGTGCTAACATTAGCTTTGAAGTGGCCTCCTATATGACCCAAAGCTGATTTGTTTTCATCTGCCAAAATTAACAATGTGTTTTTCAGCATCAGTACAAAATTATTCTCGTTGAACACTGACATTTAATTTCCGTTGAACAAATCTTAATTCTTGCCTGGTTAGCTCCAGACATTAGCCAGTACCCAATACAAAAATATTTTATTCCTTTTGCATGCCTAGATGAAAGGGACTAGCTATTCCTCGGAAAGCATTTTGAACCCAATACAAGTTACTTACACTGACACTGTAATGAAACTGACACAACTGTAATGTTTCCTTTCTTCATCTCTAAATGTATTATTTTCTTAACTTTTTTTTTAAGTTTTGTCTTCTGTAAAATGAATTATTTTGCTGGGTATGGCGATGGTTTTTTTGTTTTTGATAGAAAGTAAATTGGGATCTGCTTTTTCTAAACTACATCTCCCTTTAAGTGCTTTGTTTAAAATCTTTAAAGGTTTGAGGAACTGGTTTAATCTATGTCAGCTTATTTTTAATTTTAACAAGCACAGAAGAGGCTCTGATTTTTTGGTGAATAGTATTCCACAGAAACGTATAAATCTGGGAGGGTCACAGCACTGTGCAAGTCAGATTTTGAATATGAACTATTGGGTGTTTATAATTTTATTAAAATGCCATAGTAATAACACAACTGTAGGACTTCTTTTCAAAGTCTTCAAACAATGAGCTCTGATGTTTTGCAAGTCTAGATATTGCCAATTTCTTGATTACTGTGCTACTAAATGACATGCTACTGTTTTTCTTCTGGGTGAAATACTTTTTCCAATAATAAAATTGAAACTGTCTCTTTGGAATATCCAATTTATATTTGTGTCAGATTTGTTCCACATTATTTTTCTGGTACAGGACTCTGAAGAAAGCGCCTCTGCTTCCGTTGAGTTGGCTGAACAGAGCAATCAGGAGGAAATTATGCCTGATTCAGTGTGTTTTCTTCCAAAAAGACATGGTAAAGAAAAGAAAATAACCAGAAAAAAGAGGAACTTCAATGAGGAAACTAATACCAGTGAAGAAAATACAGGGCTTTCTGCTGAGAAAGAGGTGACTTGCATTGCTTGGTTTTGTGTGCTGGCCACCCCCTTTTCCCCAAGCGTAATTTAAAGACACTTGGTTTGTTCTACTACCATTTAGCAGGAGGTATACTTTTGTTTTGGTTTTTTTTATATATGTGTGTAGGTATATATAAGAATTTCATGTGCAAACATTCTGGTACTGGTCTCCTGTACTTTGTAGCACTGATTTTATCTATCTTGACTATGTGCTATTCCATAATGAACAGAGACTACTTGTTAGTCATTGCTTCAAGGAAATAAATTAAATTCCTCTAGGAAATACACTGTTCCAAACACTTTATCTGAATGTAAGACTGCTTCCACTAGTTCATCATAGTATTCTGAATGTTAGGCTAGTTTCAGAATCTATCTAAAATAATGCTGTTTTCACTTTATTTAGAAAAAAAATAACAGAAATTGGATGATTGCCTGGACCTCACAATTTTTTTAATTCCCACTCCTCTCAGTGGGTTCTTTATTCATGGGATGTATGATTGAGGGAGGGGAAATTTCAAGGTGAAATGTGGGTAGAATTATTTTTCTCTAGAACTACCTGCAAGTAGTGGGTGAACTAAGAACTGTGGAAGACTTTTTCTGATTTAAAGTTGGAGGAGGGAAAAGAGAAGATGAGGAGTGTTAGTCTGTTAGTGTTAGAGAATCGCACGCTAACCAGAGATATAATATTAAAAAGTAACATAGCCAGTGAATTTATTATTTTTACTTGCAAATAACTAACTTTTGTCAGTAAAGACAATTTTATACTAAAATATTAGAGCTGTGCAGGTAAAAGCTTTCTAATGCAGATCTGGTTGTGAAACAACAGGGTAAGTATTTCATAGGTTAATTCAGGTCAGACTTCAGAAAGTCTCGCTCAATCTCCTGATCAGAGCAGGGTCAACTATGAGGTTAGACCACAATGCTTAAGGCCTTATTTAATCTGATACTGAAAACCTCTAAGGATGGATGCTATGCAGCCTTTCTGGGCAACCTGTTCCACTGACTGACTGTTCTCAAAACAACAGCCTTTTTTATATCCATTTAAATGAAGTATGTTTAAACTGCAGGAGCATTCCGAAATGAAAGAAAACAAAGTGCCTCGGGGTGAGCATGAAAAGGGCCAGAAGGCATTCCAAAATGAGGAACAAGTAACTAAAAAGAGCGCTATTAAGAATTCAGGGATGGGTACTGGTCAGAAAGAACAACAAGAGAAGACTTCTGCTAAAAGTAGTGGAGATAAAGGTAAGTGCTAAATTAAAAAAAAAGTAGGTTTCATAATTTGTACTACTTAAAATGCACCTCTTGGTTATTTTATTGTGTCTGCAAAAATTTTTGTGGCATGTCTGGTGATCAGTACCTTATTTGGGGATAGCAGAAAAAACCTGTCTGGTTTGAGTTTGTGCAATTGTTTGTTTAACTTTGTAACACAAATCCACAAATTCTGCAATGTAAGAAATTCTGTTGGCTTTGACTTCAGAACTCTATACCTGATGTTTTTAGTGAAGGAGTTCTCGAAGGTCTCAGTCTGAGTCTTGCATCTTGTCTAGGACCAGTGCCTTTTGGAATACCCCCGAGATGCTACTCAGCTCCTTTAAAAAGTGGCAAGAAAGGGAGAGCTTTCCTCCCTTGTGCTTCATTTTTCTTTTCTTACAGATGAACAGGTTTTGTCATTTTCTTCCCAGAAGTAAAATTAGTAGAAGAGGACATACAGACAGAATCCTTTATAATCTATTTAAGCTGCCTAACAATATCTGAGTGCATTACAGTGGATCATTTTTCTGTCTGGTGGCTTTTTTAGACCTTCAAATGTGATGCCACTGAAAATATGAATTTGTTTCTCCTCTACTCCTTTGTGCATGCAGCTGATGTGAAGAAATGAGCTTGTCTGCCCAATCTGATAATCTATTGATGATGTGGTTCTGTCAAATAGAGACATACTGTTATTTGCTCCTGTTAGACTAAGTGTACGTAGTCCTTGAGCTGTATTATGGAAACTCATGCTGTTCAGTGGAATTTACAGGGATATTCTTAATGGAGGCCATCTATAATTTTGAAACTGATTTAGAAAATGAGGATTTTCAATGAAGGTTCTTCTAAAAACAGAAACAATAGAGTATATAGAGGATGCTTTGGTTGAGGCAGCATTCAACCTGGCAGTTGGCACAGTACTCATCTGTTCTTATAACTGTCATTATAAGTATCCATACTGCTTTCTGTTTTTTTCTTTTATTTTTTTTCAGTAATTTCAGACAGCAAGAGCTGTGTGACAGAAAAATACTGTGCCCGCATTTAGTGTTGAAAAGTTGACTTTTCAACAACCCTCCATTATTTGCTTCCAGTGAGGATTTCTTTCAATATTTTGAGGCCATCCGTGTTTACTTTAAAGGGGGTGTGAATTATAGAAAAGCAAATGTTTGCTTTCAATATGCAAATATTGAACTTGATGTGAAGACTTTACCTGATTTTTTTTTTTTTTTCTTTAACGAAATTCATCACTAAAATGTGAACGTGAATGTAATACTTTACCTGAGAGCAGAGAGGATAAAAAAAACTTAGACTCTGTGTATGTATATAAGGCAGTGGCTGAAAAGGTATTCCTTCTTTGTTATGAACATCTAAAAAACACTACCCTATTAAACAGATCAAGACCTGTGAATTTAAAGCTGGTTTTGCTTACCACAAGCAGAGTTCTCTTGCTAAATTCCCCTGTAAAATACTATCAAAAGAAAATAACCTAGCATGATTGTGAGAGTCACACTGGGCTTGTGTTGTGTCAAGACGTGCTGTTGCTAACATACTGTTCAAAAGGCTTTTGGGAGACTTAAAAACATCAGCTGGAATAGATATATCTTATTTCTCAAAACCTAAACTCCTTTGAGGAGATAAGGTGTGTTTTGGAACAAATACTCCTAAAAAGGCTGTGATGACATTAAAATATTTTCCAGGAGTTTTAACAATTTTGCCTAATCTTAATGTACCAGGTGATGCTCATCATGCAGGAGGGAAGATCCCTTTATATGTAGGCCGTGCATCTAGGTCTGGGAAAACAGGAATGAAAGCTACTACACCAAGTAAGATAACCTACCATCTATATGTGTTGTCTGTGTGTGAAGGGAGACTTGACTTACAGTTTTTTACAACCCAAATTTGTATTTCTGCTTGAAGAAAAGAACATCCTCTCTTTAAAAAGCAAGCAAACAAAAAAAGTTCCCAAAGGTTACATTTTAAAGTAAATCTTCCAATTTGTAAATTCATAGTAGTAAATGGTTTACCAGTATGTTATAAAACCGGTTTATTGAACACTTCGCTGTCCTTTGGTTATACTACTTGTATTCATGATTTTTAAACAACAAAGAGCAGGAAGACATGCTATTACTCCTGCTTGTTTAGTTTTCACTTTACAAATACTACTGTTGTGCTCTATTACTATGTATTAGCTCGGTTTTGTCACTTTGTAGAATACAGTCATTCGTTTAAAATTTGCAAGTATTTCTTTTTTTCTTTAACTGCAGAATTTTGGGGTTGGAGTAGATGACCTATGAAGGTCCCTTGCAACCCAAACCATTCTATGATTCTCCAGAGCACGCACCAAGTAACTGGCTACGTAGCTGGTGAAGTAGATTCTATTTCGTACTGTTTGGTTACCTGCATATATGCAGTCTTTAATTAGAGGGATGTGTTACTTTTTTATTTTTTTTTTAGGCCGTAATGATAGGCATTGTAAGATTTTTTTTTTTTATTAAGTAGTAAACTTCCTTAGGAGCTTATCAGGTATGTGACCCTTCTTATTTTTGGAACTTCTTAGACTTTAAAAAGTTGCATGAGGCTCACTTCAAGAAAATGGAATCTATTGCTGACTACATTGACAGGAAAAAAAAAATTATTGAAAACTGCAGCAATTCTCTCAATGAAGTCAAGGTAAGTGATAACACAGGAAGATACCCGTTCTTTCTGTATTCATTTACCTCCAGAGCCTCTCTGTAAAACTCCTGTAGAGTCTCTTTAGAGCAGTAAGTAGCTGGTCATGTGTACCTGCAGTGGGATGTTACCATCAGTGAAACTTAACTGCAGTCCCATGTAACTAGTTCTGTATAATTATTTGTATATAACTTGTATAGTTGTGTAAGTTTTTATATATTAACAGTGTATGGGTATAAATAGTTATAGAAACCAACAAATAACTTGTCAGTTTTGAGTAAAAATAATGATGTCGCAATTACTTTTCTGATGGATCTCCTGGAGTTTTGCTTAAAACTGTTTGAATTGCTGCAGAACTTAACCAAGGGGATGTGTTATTTTTCAAAGAGTGGAAATTAAATATTAAGTTCCCCTGTTGTGCCTTAAAGAACCATTGTCCAATGACTGCATGAGACTCTCTCTTAAAATATATGCAATGTATGTTGTTCTCAGTGGCCCCGTTTCTCAGGTTTTGTATTTCATGCTTGCATTGGTGAGAGCTGCTAATAAGGGCCTCTTTCAGAGCATGGCAGACCTTAGCAAAATGACAGTAACGCATCAATGAACACCTGAATGAATACGTCAGTTTCAGTAACACTGAAACTCCTGAACACTACATTTCTCCCTTCTAATGGTGTACGGTGTACCAATGTATACTTAAGAGAAATTACTTTTGGCAGGTGCTGGCCAAAAAATCGAATCACTTAAGAGCATCAGAAAAAGGTGTTCCACATAACAGTTCTAAGGTATGTGTTTTCAGATCACTTCAATAATAATAAAACTACTTATGTTTAAAATATGCTTTTAAAGAAGTGAAGAGACTGTATGCTTCTGATTCACTGTGTATTTTCCCTTCTCTTAGCTGCTTTTCTGATAAACTTTTAAGTGTGTGCTAACTGATTGTTTGCTTTTCCTTAGAAACAAACCAGTGGCAAAACACTTTTATTCAGCCCAAATCCAGAAAGAGGAAGATACTCCACCACCTGCACTCCTAGTAACCTCCGGCGCTCACCACGCAGTTCTCTGAATGCTGCCAGTCGGAGTATTTTATCTAGGAAATCTTCATTTAATCCTTCTGTCCTTTCAACAACCAAAATGAATGTCAGGTAAAAAGAACAAACAAACACTACCAGTGATCAGTTTGGTATGACACACATGAAATAATCAACACTGACTGGGATTTGACTATGTTATTTCTATTCCAAAGATGAACTACATGAGACTAATTTTAATGACTAACTTTCAGTCTGGCTTTATGGCTGGTTTAAGCCTTACTGTGCTGTTACTGTCTTGATTCTTCATTTTGATGCCTGATGGTAGAGGAACCTTGCCTCTCTTTGAGCTTTCATTTTTGCTAAAGCAACCAAGCCAAACCATTTTTCTTCTCTTACTGCGTTAGGTTTTCCATTTTGTTAAGCAACCTAATGGTCTCTGTTATATCTGAATTAATTTATCTTCGAGATTACTTAACCAGAACTGTATGCAGTATTCCAGGTGAGTCTCAGTGGACTCAGCATTTGGGGTTTTTTGGGTACTCTCTTTTCCTTTTCTCCCCTCTCCCCCATGTCACAGCAGGGGGCTCATCTTGTGGTTGACTACTATACGCAGGTTGTTTCTAGCAGATGGAAACCAAGTTGACACCAGAAAGTCAAGATGAATTGCTAAATGAATGAACTCATACTCAATGCTTTTAAACCTCATCTTGTTACCTTTTAGAACACCACGTGCACTTCATTTATTCCTACACAGTAATCTAATTCTCTATTATGTTAGTATTTCCTGAACTTTTTTGTTATCAGTAAATTTTATTAGCTTATGACTAATTTTTCTAAAGTCTTGAACAAAAAACCCTTTAAAAGAAGGAATCAAAAGGACAGCCCATACCGTACTCCATTGATGAATGCCCTTCTGCCCAGTCTTCTTTTCAGTGAAAGTCCTTGTCCTGGTTTCCAACGATTGTACCAATTCCAACATTTACTCACTGCCTTTCCACATAGGGCAGGCTTTCGGCTTATTGTCAGCAACTTTTGATGATAAGGCTATTACTTCATGCAGTATTTTGAATTTTCTTTCATATGTTTATATATACATACACATGTATACACACATATACATTAAAAATGTGTGTATATACGCACATACATAGAGCACATGTGTGCCTTGGTATGCTGGTAACTTGTGTATTTTGACTAAAACTTCCAAGTTCTTCCTTTTGTAGATCTTTGAGTTCTAGAGTTCTGCTAGTTAGTTAATATTCTTTGAGTTTTTCTGAATTTGGATTTTCAAATCAACAATATCTATATACAATGTTTATAATGTTTTACTACAGAATCCAAATCTGAAGTAAATCATAGCTGCTGGTGAAAAAATCTACCAGCTTATTACATCCAAATATATTTGCTCTCCAGAACAAGCAAGTCAGTTCTTTGTTATTCCTAACCTTACTCACTACTCTTGATGATGGCTCATAACTTGAAAACTTGCTGGCAAAGGTATCCTCAGTGCAGTTTATGCATCAGCTGTGAACAGCTTATATGCAGTAAAACTTTCTACCTGTAAGAAAGGTAGAACACAGAACCTTCTGCATTCTGTCACGTTGCTTACATACCTTCTAGATGACTGATTTTGTCCTCATATTTCTAATAATTTTCAGGTTCTCAGAAGCCACAAAAGATAATGAGCATAAGCGCTCTCTTACCAAGACTCCATCTAGAATGTCTCCATACTTGGAGGAGATCTGCACACCTGATAGCCAAAAGAGCTGCAAACTAATAAGCCAGAAAAACAGCAAGGGAAATGCAAAAAATAATGATTTGACTGCATCAAAGGGTAAAGTGGGCGGTAAATATTTGGCTTCCTCAGATCATGATCTTTGTATTATTGAATTATTATATATCTTTTTATAACCCCGTGTCATGTAGACTCAGGTTTTAATTTCATTTGCAAATTTGACTGATTCTTCAGAAACTGCAATAGTTTCTTTATTTCCTTTCGTTTCCAGTGTTTTGACTAAAGCAGGTGCTAAGACTTAAACATATGGTACCAAGCTACCTAGAGAGAAGCCTAATACAGGATGTAGGGGATAGAAATAGTTCTAGACCTTTAGGGACTACGTAGCAAAAGATTCCTGCAACAGGTACAGGAAGATCCTGTCTGTGGTGAGAGGAGCTCCTGATGCCTTCTTGGAGGTCTCATTCTCCTTGCGGGACTGGCATGCACCAGGCTTCTAGCTGTATTCAGGACAGCCTGTGATCATCAGCCTCCAGACCCCTGATTAACTCAGGAGCTAAAGCTCTGTATGAAAAAGCGGAAGTCTTCTGGTTACTGATGATCTCTGCAGCAGCACATCTCTGCTCTCTAGCAGTCCATACCCTAACACCACAGGTACGTTAGGACAGGTCAGGACCCCAGAGTTGCCTGTCTCGCTGTGTGACAATACTGATTTTTTTAGGGGGAAAGATCAGCAGTGCAACTTCTTAGAAGCTGGTGTGTTCCAGAAGAGAGCTGCTTTTTTAATGTGAAAATCCGCTTGGTTCCAAATAAGCATAGAGACTAGGAAACACAATTTGCTCTGGAGGACTAGAAAAATGCATGGAGCTGTATATGCTATTGCACAGCATAATCAGAGCAAAAGAGCCAATACGCTACAACCCTTGCTCTCTCTGGACCTGACAGCTCCCTGTTTCAAGTGAACTGTATTTGTGCAGTTCTGTCTGTAGAGGTAGCAGATGGTAGCATTTAATGGTTCTTTGGTCCTGATAGTTGTCAGGTGGTCTTCATAGGCACTTTCCAACTTGCTATGTACAGAGATCTTCTTGACACCATAATTAAGTGTGATATTTTGGTGCCTTTTGCAGTTATCACTCCCTTCAAGTTTGCGGCTCATTCTGCAGAACCCACAAGCACAAAGAAGACATTTGATCTCAAAGCAAGTCTCTCCAGGCCGCTTCGGTATGAGCCACATAAAGGTATTGTGATCCTGTGCAGTTTGGGTGGGTCACGCCCCTTATACTCAACTGCTCGTAAAGCAAGGCAGTGACACAAGCCATGACAGGACAAAGTTTTCAGTCTCTCTTCCTGTCCCTTTCCCTTCCTGTCCAGATTGCCACACACTCTGTGGACTGGTGTTAAATTTTGACACAATATATGCTTTAAGAGCCTCCCTACTGAAGAATAAGTCTTTATGACCAAAAGCCCATAAATATAAGAATAAACATCCTCGTATTCCACTGAATAGATGTATGTACAGGAAATATGAGATACTCTTTTACAAAACGAGGCTTTTTTTTCAAGTGTGCTATTGTGTGAGAAGCTGAACTTTGTGTGGTGAGTGTTACTTACAAGTACAGTCATCTGCTACTGCTCATAGAAAAACTACTTGTAGGGAATGGGCTGGTGAAACTGATAATACAGCTGAAGAGGCATTTAATCTTAAAGTCAATCAGCAAAAAAACAGGCTAGCTAGCATAAATTCACAGTAAGATGGTAAGCATACAATTACTAAACTAATAATTCAGTAGTCTCTCTTTTTGCCCCTAAATTGTAGGACGACTAAAACCTTGGGGAGAATTTAAAGAAAATACTGTCCTAAATAAGTCTGTCGGTAGCAACATCTATTCACGTAAGGAAGATTACAAACAGCCGCATCTCCAGACAAGGTTAGTACACCGTTAACTTTTTATGACCAGCATTACTTAAAAAGACTACTCATTTGTCTTTTTAGGATTTAAATATGCAGTTCAGGAAATAATACTTTATATAAAAGCAATGTTTGCCTCCAATAGCCTGTCTGGTATCAGAAAGGCCAACAGAGAGAGCAGCTCTGATCTGGCAGACTTCTATTTTGCAAAAGCCATCAATGCTAGCATTTGAGATTTACCTTCGCCTTGGAAGAGGCTGTGAACGTTGACATGTTCCCTTGAATGTTAGACCTGTACCTCTCAGCAGAAGCATTTGCCCAAGTTTGGATTCAGTCCAAACCAGAACTGTTCCCTCTGCCCATGGCAAATGCAGCACACTAGTTAGATCAATGTTAAGCCTCTGTCAGCTTCAGATTTCTTTGGCTGCTTGTGTCTATACCTTAAATATAACTTGGCATGGCCTGCCTTTTTTTTTTTTTTTTTTTTTTTTTTTTTTTTTTCTTCCCTTCCCCCTTCAGGGAAGAAAGGCGTGAGAAACATGAGCAAGAGAGAAAGAAGAAAAAGGCTCAGGCTCTTGGAAAACGTAGAGGACTATCTGTGGCCTAGGAGGAATAGGAAATACCCAAGAAATCACTGTAAATACTATTTCTGCCATGTAAATATTTGTGCTGTCTGTGTATGGTTCATGTTGCTATTAGCTAGCAGTATCCAGAAAGCATTGAATGACACCTTAAAACGCATCTGAGCGTAATGGTTTAGTGATCAACTTCTCTGATGAGATGAGAGTTCTAAAGGTTTAGTGATCAACTTCTCTGATGAGATGAGAGTTCTAAACTCTTAGGAGCTTAGAACTATCTCTAGTTGCTTAATAGTGTTTTCATTTAACTGAAAGATGTTAAAGGAGAAAATGTAAGTGGAAAAAAGATGCTCAGGAAGCCACCTTGCAACTTAGGGCAGGTTTCTCTGCCGGAATGTATGCTACCCACTGGAATGCGCACTTTGGATCGCAAGCTTCGAAGTGTTCCACTGGTAAATCACAGGCGGCGGCAATGTCTGCTTGCCCTGTTCTCCAGATCAATCCTTAAATTCTCTAACAACTGTTACAGCAGTTATCCGGCACTTCTAGCTGCATACCTATGAAGTAGTAGGGAATTGCCAAGGAGAAAAAATAAGCAAGCTCTCTGGAAAACTAAAAGCTTACAGCATAACATAATTGTAAAATAACTGTATTTTTTAAAAGTCACAACTGCAAAGTGGCTTTAAAAACTACCAATTGGATGCTTTGAGCAGTTGAGGCTGTTTTGTTCTTTTCTATGGTAAATAGCAGATGCTAACAAAATTCTTGCTTTTCATCTCTACAATGCTTAAAAGAGGTTATGGTAGTGTTGAAGCACATTCAATACCTTAGATTTAAAAGCTGTTGTTATTGTTACTTTTAAAAAATACATAGAAAGGCTGTCTGGATTTATTATAGATGGAACTGGAAAGGTAATTTAGCAGTTGTAACCTCAGCTAAAATTTTGAGCAAATATTGTTTCTGTGAATTTTGTGTCCTATCAAATATATGTTGAAATGTCAAGAACAAGCAATTTTTTTATGAACTTAATGGGGAGTAATAAATATTTTGTACATATCCTGTTTATTGCTGGTGATATCCTCTAGTGTGCTATCTGTAACTACCTCCCTGGTATAGCACTAGTTTTGTTCACACTTGTATTTAGTACTCTGTCTTTTTTGTGGCGAGGTCTCCTTACCTGTTAGCCTGCCTACCTATCGCTTCATGAAAGCATGTTTGTTCTGGTATCTTTAGACATAATAATGATCACTCCTCTTTCGCTCTTAAGCTGTTTAATTCTGTGCAAGAAGAAAATGATAGTACAAGACACCACTTCAGTTTGCTTTATTGTGGTTTTTTCCATATAAAATATAGGTATATTTAATATTTGTAAAGTACACTTAAATAAGGCTGCTGCAGAGGAGGTCAGTGCTTTGATTAGACTATGTTTCTGACAGCTGAAATGAAACCATTCAGCACTTGTTTTTTAAAGTGTTTCTCAAATTGCTGAAAACCAGACTTCTCAGAAAAAGGGAGGTATTGAGCTTCTGTGCCAGCAGCAGAGGCTGTGACTTTGTACAATACAGCCCAGTGCAGGTAATTGCACACATCAGCAAAGCATGATCTGATCTGCCCTGTAATGGTGCTACCAGGCTGAGCTGTGCCCCCAACCCAACCTTGCAGCGTTACTGCTGTTCAACACTTTTGCTCTGTAGGACCAGCAGTAGCAGCTCTAAACAAGAAGCCAGTCCCTCTGGCTCTCTTTCACTCTTGGCAGGGGCAGCTTTTTCTTTTTTTAGATATTCAGAGGCATCAAAGCTAAAGACTGAAATACTCTACCTCTTCCACTTCTGGTGCTGCTCTTTGTAAACTTCAGGGGCTGAGTCACACTTAAAAACTATTCCTCAGGGTATTAATTCTCATCATACCTTCCCCAGTTTAGAACTAGTGGATATGAGTGTTTTACAACCCGCTACAAACCATAATGCAGAAAATGAAATTGTTGTACAAAAAAGAACTACAGCAAGCTCATGAAATACTTTTATTTCTGTAAAGATCAGGACAGATGCCAAAACTTACCCAGTCAACAGTTACTACTTTGTAAGGGTGCATCACAGCCCCCTCAGGCTGTGTTCCTGTCTGTGTATGTGCAGCCTCTCCAGGACTCTGCATTTGGCAGCTCAGGGATGCCAGCAGTGTCACTCTAGTCAGATTACCAGTCAATGCTTCATGCACTTCTCTCTTTAATGTTTACATAGAATCTTCAAGTTGGTATAAGCCACACATTAAGAAGTGTTTTATAAAAATGAACCAAGCAGCTGAAGAATGTCCCAAAGGACTCCAGCCAACTTAGACTTTAGGATTCTTTTCATATGTTTCATAGGCAAATTCTTCTGTATGAGCTCTGTCGTTTAGCAGGCCAATAAAATCGATCTCCAGCTGGAATGGGCCATCCACTTTATCTCCAATCGTGAATCCCAGGGTACAAATCTAATTAAAAGATATGTACATTAGAATAGTATTTATGTATGTTACAATCAAACACAACTGTAGCTACCGCTTCCATGTTTTACAAACAATCCATGGCCATCCCCCGTCAACGGGGGTGCTTCTTCAAAGTGCAGCATTGCGTCTTAAGGCTTGAACACTTCATTGCCACATTTTCAGTATGGACCCCAGTGGGAAACTACTTCACATCTGCTCTTCTACTGCTGTGTTGAACCCTTCATTAGAAATGGCCCGAACCTAAAACAACACAGCAATTTTTTATCCTTCAAGGCTCGTGTATGGCCAGTTTCATCGTGGCTGGGCGTACAATCCCATTTGCATAAAATCTGTTATGTGAGCAGGAAACACAAACAGAATGTAACTAAGGATGGAAGGGGACTTTCATTCTAGATCAAGTCACGTACTTGGCCTAGTGTGAAAGTGCACCAAAACACATATTAAAAATGCATGAAACTTTGTTACCAAGTTTTATATTAAATCAAGGTTCTTAGCCACTGTTTCCCATTTAGAATAATGTTCTTAGATATAAAAACATTTGTTTCCCCTAATGTTCTCCACTATTCTATTTTTTAAAAAAATTTTATTCTAACTAATGAATTCCATAAAACCCCATGTGGCTCAGGCATGTTTCCTATGAGCCTGTGGCGAGCCAAAAAAAACCCATGTGGCTAAGGCGTGTTCCCTAGGACCCTGTGGCGAGCCTGTGGCTTGCCTGATAGCTCTCCCAGCTCCTACGTGCCACCGGTTACCTTTCAGAGACCCCAGTGCAAGCAGTCCTCAAACAAGTTGGGTCACAGGTGGCAGGCCACCTCTTAAGCTCCAGCTGCCCCTAAGCCCTGGTACAAGCGCAGGTCTGAGCTGTGCCCATGATTTTAAGGACTGCTGTACATGCAAGAAAAAAATGCCTAGGGTGTGTCAGATAAAGATGAATAATTGTGGGCTGAGGCTAAATATATCTCACAAGTTAAATAAATAATAGGACAAAGCTGGAGAAATAAAATGCATTGGCATTCCTCTTGGACTGTGCTCTCTTCCCCAGAAGCAAGCTCTACAATCAGCCTCTTGGCTTGTGGAGCCTGGAGAGTTTCTAAAGCTCCATCTTTCTGGTTCATATCCTTACCGATGACCACAGGAGTCACCTGAACTCTCTGTTCTGAAGAATGCATTCCTCTGCGAGCCCTACATGCACTGGCTATTTCCTGCCTTTTTATTCCTGTTTAACAATGCTGTTCCTGGGAAAATGTATAGTAGTACCATGAGGGACCAAGATGTTTTATCAAAATTTCTTTAATTGCCTTCACACCACTTCCCCTATTTTTAGGTTTCTTTAAAGTACATTTGTAAAATTACACTTCACGTTTCATGCAAGTGCATCGTTTTTACTGTGAAATACTAAGCATAAGAAAACAAGGAATGAAAATTAAATGGAAGATGCTTAGATCAAGTACCATTTTGCCCCTTTAACTCCTGGTAAATATTTCTAAACACCGCATATACAAATTTTTGTTTTCATTTACCATTCTGAATCTGTATATTCCAAATCCTGATAAGGTCTTCAGCGTTTGTATTTAAAACACAGGCCTTTTATAACAACTTTCTTCCATGAAGCATATTTTTTCTTGCGCTTGATCTACCTTCTTCCTATCATTCACACTTGCTTTCTACAGCCTGAGCTTCTTCTGTTTTAAACCAGATTGTTTTCCTTGCTGCCAATTACTGACTTGCCTTCAGATTTTTTCCCAATTTTTTTTCCCCCATAAAGGCAATTAGGGACGGAATACAACATTCCAGGCAACTAACACAGATTCAAATAATGGGCCTCTTATTTTCTCCCTATATATTTCTAACATTGTTTATTTTCCTTTTGGTAGTCACTGGGCATTAAGCTGCCTCAATTACATACAGGAGGGTCACTGAACTTTAAAAGAAAAAAAAGATACAGAAACAATTTTTTCCAACATATTTCCTCCTGAAAATCAGTGAATTAGTTTACCTGGCTGAAGAGACAAAATAAAAAATACTCAACACATTTACTTCATACTTAGGCTAGAAAGCCTAAAAAAAAAAAACTAAAAAAGAGCCTATAAATACCTCAGTTTACTGCTCACCATCAAGGTCACTGATCCAGTACACCCTCAAATAAAATCTCACAATATCATCCCTTACAGTCTTCTGTCAGGAAGGAAGTTTATGATCTTTTATTATTTTTGGCAGTACTGTGCCAACCGGCACTTCAGATTTTAGTCACTTTGATCATTCCTCAAAAGCCAAGTAAGTTGTGAGTTGTTTCTTGGTTATCTAGATCTCTTAAAAATATTTTCGGAGCTCCTTTGAAGTAAACTGACACTGCTATCACAAAGTAGGATAATTGCAAAGGCAAGCACGCAAGAATAAGTACCTTATAACAAGAGGCCCTTCAACTTAAAATTCACAGACATTAAAGAATTTGTAAATTATATCACGACAATACAATCTTAGAGGATATTTCAGACAGATAAAGCCTATAGAAAACTTGCCTTGTCTAACCAGATAGGGTGCTGGTCATCCTGGACTCTTCCCCGACTGGAAAGAAAGAATTTGGAGAATGGAATCTGACAGAAACAAAACCAAACCAAACCAGACTTTAGTATCACCAGTACACAGAATAAAAACTTAAGAAATAGAAAGCCTGCCTTAGTAAATGAAATAATACTCTGCTTCATCTGACACCAGCACTTATTGGGTACACAGAATGGGCAGAGAGAAATGGGCCACATTAACCCTTTCATTAGCCACTTGCAGCCAGCTCCAGCCCCATGCTGTTCCGTGGTGGCCGTTTGTAGCTGTCATGCAGGATTGTTAGTTACCCTGAGAGGCTGCAGCACAGAAGGTGGCTATTTACAGCCAGAAAATCTCCTTCCAATAACATGGCAGCATAAAATAGAAATTAATGAAACTCTAGTGTGCAGGTATGCCAACAGTTTGCCTGTACCAAAGCTGCATATTTCACAGTGCCAACTTCTTACCGAGACATGAGTACTCCAGCAAAGCAGTTCAGAATAATGTAAAAATGACTTTGAATGCAGTGGGAGCAAGAAAGAGGAGGGGCTGTGATAAGAGCGAGGAAACAGGAGCACTGGCTGGTGTGGGCAGGCGGTTAGACATTACAAAAAATTTCTTCCCTGAAAGGGTTGTCAGGCATTGGAACAGGCTGCCCAGGGAAGTGGCTGAGTCCCCATCCCTGGAGGTATTTAAAAGACGGGCAGACGAGGTGTTTAGGGACATGGTTTAGTGGTGGGATGGCAGGGTTAGGTTAGTGGTTGGACTTGATGATCTTAAAGGTCTTTTCCAACCTAAACGATTCTATGATTCTAAAACATGCAAGCCAGCAAGGACACACTGATTTTCATCCTCCTGACTCCTCAT